TCCAAGCAAATGTCAATCTTGCCATGAAAAAAATTTAAGTTTTCACAAGAATACAGAAAACGTTTCCAGCTTTTTTGTGTAGCAAGTATTTTATAGTACTTCAGAAATACTCAAAAATGTCTCTGGCGATGCTTTCAAACTATTCTATTTAATTCACCAAAGTCACACAAGTGGCAATTTCACATCTGTCACATGCATAACGGAGAGATGTCACATCCATAACGACACTTTTTTTTCTTATAAATGCGAAAATAATAAATTAAATAAAACCAATCATTTTTGTTCTATAGTACGCCAACTCTTATCCTTTTGATTATCATTTTTTTCTTCTGGGTTGTGCAGTTTAATTCACAGAATTTCTACAAAGTATGTTGTCCACTGTAAACCCGCAGACTTTTTTTTTTGTCACATCCATAATGCATGATGATTTCCCTTATTTAAAGTACAAAAATGTTTACAGATTGATTTTTTTTTTTTTGGTCCATTAACTCTGTGGTGAGTTGTTCTGGAAAATATAAACAAAAGTTTTAATATAATGTTAACGTACATTCTATGAGAATTTATGTTTGGAGTTTTTACTGCAAATGTCACATCCATAACGCTGGAATTGCTCATATATATATATATATATATATATATATATATATATATATATATATATATATATATATATATATATATATATATATATATATATATATATATATATATATATATATATATATATATATATATATATATATATATATATATATATATATATATATATATATATATATATATATATATATATATATATATATATATATATATATATATATATATATATATATATATATATATATATATATATATATATATATATATATATATATATATATATATATATATATATATATATATATATATATATATATATATATATATATATATATATATATATATATATATATATATATATATATATATATATATATATATATATATATATATATATATATATATATATATATATATATATATATATATATATATATATATATATATATATATATATATATATATATATATATATATATATATATATATATATATATATATATATATATATATATATATATATATATATATATATATATATATATATATATATCTATATATATATATACATATATATATAT